TTGGGAAATTCATCACAGCTTATGTAACCTTGAAAGAACTCAAGCATTGGGAGGCTGGTGTATGTATCTAGCTTTCCACTCATCATCGCTTTGTAGCTGAATGATTTCATGTTGTAGGTTATCAGGCACATCAGCTGGTTCCACATTGAACAGTACAGCAAAGATGTTCAATTCCATTTGTTTACTTTTCATGTCCTTGAATCTTTCATTAAAAGCCTCCATTAATTTCACACATTCACTAGCATATTCAAGTGTCATAGAAGGCTTCTCTCCTGCTACAGTAGGGAAATATACCATGTTATTCCTTTCGAGTTGCACTTCTCACAGCCTTAATTTAGCTTCAGATGATTTGATGTTTGAAAACAGGGAGCTCAGAAGCTGGTGGGGCCCTTCAGGCTGACGTCCAACTCTGAGAGGTACTTGGCAGTGTCCACCATGAACGCTAGATCACACAGCTACTTGCTATCATTGAGTTCCCTGACCGGTTTTCCTTTCATCTCCACACACTGCTTAACTTCATCCCAGTTTGTAAAATCTCATGAGCATGTTCCCGAGGCTCAGCCACTGCCCCTCACAGTGATAAGCACCACTGTACTCAGTCCAAATCATTCAGTAACTGCTTACACTGGTGGCTATTATACCCTCTGCTTTTGACAAAATTTATGCATGACATTATTGTTGACATCACATTGTTGAGCTGCAATGATTGTGCACAGAGACTTGCCTGGTGTATAATGAAATCACTTGGATCAAGACTGAGAAAATTCAGTTCTTTCTTGACAAGTGTAATTAGCCCTTTTTGTGAGCCACCATGGCTGCTGCTCCGACTTTACTTTTCAAATGTTAGCTTGGGTTTTTTCACTGATAAAACAAGTTTTTCAAACAAGTCCTCCCCTCTTGTAGTACCATGCATGGCTTCCAGTGACAGCAATTCCTCTTGTGTGGCAAACTCTGCGGCTATCCCTTGAACGAAAACTGCCAGTTGGGCAGTATTTGTTATGTCTGTTGTCTCGTCACAAGTCAGAGAGAAAAATTAGAAGTCTCTTGCAGAATTCTTCAATATCTTGTGTTAAATCAGTAGTAAGGAGCTCTGGTAGCATAGTGGTTACAAGTTGGGCTGCTAACCTCAAGGTCTGCAGTTCAAAACTACCAGCCGTTCCGTGGGAGACAGATGAGGCTTTCTGCTCCTGTAAAGATTTACAGACTAGAATAGGAAACCGTATACAGACTACGAGTCGGAACTCCGGACACACAACCACCATCACCACCCACCACCACCAAGTCAGTAATGGTTCTTTGAGACAAACTAATACTCTGAAACAATTTTACTTTGGTACTAACAACACTGCAGCAGCCCCTATACACTCTCATAAACTCTCCTTGTACTTAAGCCTTGGAGTCCTGTTGTGGTGCTGTGGGTTAATGCACTGGACTGCAAAGTTGGTTTGAACCAAATGGTCACCGGTCTGAGTTCACAAGTTGCTCCTTGGAAACCCTATACAGGGTCACTATGGGTCAGAACCAACTCAACGTCACTTACTTAACAACAACAACATAAGGCCTCAGCTTCTTTTCAATTAGCTCTTACAACATAAATTGTCTGAATAATGTCACCTCTCACAAAGAGGCCTAGTGAAAGTGGCTTATTGTGATTCCAAACTCTGCTGAAGAGCACTGAGTTTATCCAGACGCATCTGACCTCCTAATTCACTGAGTTTAGCAAGCTTTGAGCTGTCATGACACTCCAGATTGGGTTTTTTTCACTACTGCAAACGCATCGCCACAAACTAGGCACACAGGTTTGCCTTCAACTTCAATAAAAACATAATCATTTGTCCATTTCTCTTGGAAAGATCAACACTCTGCATCAACTTTTCTCTTCTTTGCAGTTGCCCTATATAAGATGCTATACCACTTAGGGTTTAATAACTCCCCAGTGGCATGGTTGTTTTGCTTTGAACGCTATTCTAATCCTGCATCGTGGATTTGGAACATAGCCAATGTTCGTATCATCCACTCTTGTGGTCTTTTCTGTAAACTGTAATTTCCTTAATCTTCATCTGAGATTCAGTTTTTACCAGGATTATTGATCGTGGACATGTGGCTAAAGATTGTATTGTCTGTGTTGACAAAGACGTCAACAACATTGTCGTCAAGTCGCGTTGTGAAGGTCATCAATGTTGCAAAGAATCATCTCATCGTATCCTGTCTCATCATCACCAGATCGCCATAGTTTTCCCCACGGTGTGTTAACACTATCATAGATGTACACTCTCAGCCTGCCTGGCACTGACTGTCCTCTGACTCACCGTAATACAGGCAGACAGGCTGTGGGCAGCTGACGAGAATCGTATCTGTCTGTCCTGTCGTATACTTGTGTGTGTCCTGTCTCTCCCGTAATGGACGTTGTTTGTCTCATGAAATTCATATTATTATGATTCACTTAATGTTAACAAATGCTGCTATGAAAAAGGTTCTTAGAGTTATTGCATTTCAAGTCCTGCTTGTGTTGCCCTGGCAGGATCAGATCAAATGACGTTCCCCATGCCCGTGATAAATAGAAAAAAGATGGATGCTATCAAAAGCCTTTCTTTTACTTGGATCCAAAATTATGGAAGCACAGTCAAGAAATCAAACGATGGGGTCCTGGTGACTCTGTGGGTTAATGCGCTGGACTGAAAAGTCAGTTTGAAGCTCAAGGTTGGCTCCTTGGAAACCCTATACAGAGTCGCTATGGTCGGAATTGACTCAAGGGCACACAGCAACATTGCATTAGGCAAATCTGCTGCACAAGATCTCTTTGAAGGGTTCAAGGGCAAAGATGTCAGTTTGAGGATTAAGGTGTGCCTGACCCAAGACATGGTATTTTCCATAACTTCATATACATGTGAAAGTTGGACAATGCTTAAGGAAGAATGGAGAAGAGTCGATGCATTTGAATTATGATGTTGACAAAGAATATTGAAAGTATCAAGGACTGCCAGAAGAGCAAAAAAATTTGTCTTGGAAAAAGTACAGCCAGAGGGCTCCTTAGAAATTAGGATGGCGAGACTTTGTCTCTTATATTTTGGGCATGTTGTCAGGAGGGACAGGTCACTGGAAAAAAGGCTATCGTTTGGGAAAATGGAGGGTCAGCAAAAAAAAAGAAGACCCCAAACAAGATGGATTGACACAGTGGGCTCAAACAACTATTGTGAGGCTGGTGCGGTATGGAGCAGCGTTTCATTCTGGTGAGTACAGGCACCCAACAACAACACCAAGTTAATACAACACCTTTAATTTTTTTTATCATCTTTAGGCAAATACCTCTTAGACTTGTTTTATTCTTGGTTAAAGAAAGCTGGCTAAGAAAATCACTTGACTCCTTCCTGGTGAAGCTTCTACTGTTCACAGCATTTTCAGGTACTGTTACTCATTCTTACTATTTCATGGCCCAACGCAGTTGCCAAAGTCTTCATTTTACAAATAGGGAAAATGGATTCAGGTGCAGGAATGGCCTAAAATTCTGCCTACAGAGAGAACAGCTACAGTGAGAACACGCCTCCTTGTGTAGTGTTCTTCACATCCCCACCCAGCATCCTTATGAATAGACAAGAGATCAAATCACATATCCATTTAATTATATGTTTATTCAATGAAAGGATGTATAAAAACTTACAAATCTGAGAACTGAACTATACATGAAATAGAATGATGGGATATTCAGTTTTCAACATATACATAGAGCAGAGCTAGTAACGGTTCTTCTCTTTCTTGATCCCCTTCGGTCTGCATATCTGGCTCCTATTTTGTCTTGTGAAACCATTCTGCTTCTGGCCTAAGGGAAGATGAATGGACAATTTTTACTGCTTTCAGGCCAGTGGAGGGAATTTCAGTGTTTTTGTCCTTTTTAAATTTTTTCTTTTTTAAAGTGGAAAGTGAACATCAAGTATTTTACCTTGAACAACAATTAAGATTTCTTTGTCCTGATTTCTGTTTGTCATTTCTGATGCTTCAATGAAAGTTGCCAGTTACTTACTGACACTAACCGCTGACATCATTAAAATTATTGCATTTTCTGCTCACAAGTTTGCCTGTATTCTTTCCCTGCGGTCTATTACACACCGACTAAAAAGCATCCAGCGTGTATTAACATGTCTACCACTGGCAACTGTTAAGAGCGACAAATCAGTTTTTGGTCAGAAGGACAATCTGCCGGACAGTATTTTCAAATCTGATTTAAAAAAAAACAAGACAGGAGATTTGTCAGAAACTAAACACGTTGTTGTTCACGGTTGGAAGAGGCCAGCATTAGACAGGACATGTGTATCGATTCACCTATTTCGAGCAAGTAAGTACTCACACATTTTCTCTTAAAAACAAGCAAGCTCACACCTTGCCACGTTTTACCCCAAAATTAAGATTGCCATCACATTATTATTATTATTATTTTGTGTTTTGTTAAGGTAGATTTCGTAATGAGAGATTTTTCTTGACTGGACATAATCTAAAAGGATGTGACATAAAATACCTGGAGGATAAATGCTAAGAACGTTTGCTGGGTGAAAGTTTCCCCGTACCTTCTAGATTTTTGCATAGTACAGAGCCCAGAGCATGCTGTATTTCAGACACTGTTTTTCTGAGAAATCGGATTACCCAGGGAATGTCCTAATTTTAGTTTACCGAATTGCATTCTGGTTGTTTTGGTATATACCCTTCATTAGTTCCAAGTATGCTTTTAAATCATCTGTTTGTGTTTATAAGTACTACTGACCATTATCTTTCCAATAGCCCCTGTACCACAGCAAACATATGTCAGGTCTAGAATGTACACAGAGCCTTTACCCAGGTGGGGCTGTGGACGGGGAGGAGGAGGGACAAGGAGAAAAAGGACAGAGGCCTGTTTGATTCATGCCACAGAGAACCATATTTATAGTTCTGAATTAGGGGAAGGAGCGGAAGATAGTCTTTGTAAAAATGACAGTTTAAAAAAAAAAAAAAAAAAAAAAGGCCAGTACCCCTTAGTCCAGTAATACTGTCTCCTGTTCCTTTTTAATGGACGCTAACATGGGGTGGTCAGGTTCCGTCACTTCTGAGTCCCCACTGCCCAAGAGAATGGACCGCCCCTCGTCTAGGGCAAAGACGTCTGAGTTCTGGTTTTGGCAAGAGTGTTTAACCACCTCACTGGGAGTGGAGAAAGTCTTGTCACACAAGTTACATTTGTAGGGTTTGTTGGTCTGTACCAGCATGTTGTCCATCTGACTGCCCTCCTCGAAGGTGCACAGTTCCAGGGTCTGTTTGTCCACCATGGTGTAGGTGTCGATGCCCTGGTTGAGGCACACGTGGCGGGCAGCCTGGTTAGCCCTGCAAAAGCTCTTGTCACACGTACTGCATTTGAAGGGCTTTCCGGTGTGGATGTACATGTGCTCCCTCCAGTGACTCTTCTGGATGAACTTGCGGCCGCAGATGGTGCATTCGTACTTCCGCCTCTTGACTTCCCTCTCCTGGTCGGCCTGCTCCAGGTTGTCGATGTCCGCGATGTCTGAGGGGGGCGGTGTCTCCGACTGCTGCTGCCCATCGATGAGGGGCGAGTCGGACACGTGCTGTAGCTCGTTGTCGCTGATCATACCGGCCTCGGGCACTTCCATGGCGTCCTTGCCGAGGTCGGCTGCGTTACTGCAGAGGGACAGAGGGACACGGCCCTCTCCTGGCTGGTTGGATGCGAAAGGTACTCCAGTATGGATCTGTAGATGCTCCCGCAAACTGCTCCGCAGCGTGAAGCGCCGCCCACAAAGGTGACACGCGTAGTACTTGGGGAAGCTGCCATTCCTCTTCATGATGCTGGGCTTCACGTGAGCAATGGTAAGGGAGGCGGGCTGCTCATCTGAGGAAGAAGCTTCCATATTGGTCTCCTCCCCGGGGGCAGAGGGAGGGACAGGAGTGGAAACAAGGTCTGGGGACAGGGAGGTCTGCAGCGGGTCCGAGGGAGTCATATTTGTCCGATTCACCTGGGTCAGATTCGGTGTGAACTGTGAAGGCTGGGTGGCCTCGGGCACCTGCTCCTGGCTCACCCTGGCTGGTGCAGGCCGTGGCTCTCGACTAAGCTTTTCAGGGGCTGGGGTGATCTTGGTGGCTTGTCTCAGCTGATGATCTGCAATCTGGATGCCATAGAGGGAGGAAGCTAGTGGGAACACTTGGTCAGGGTGAGAGAAGGCTCCTTGGCTGGCCAGGCTGGCTTCCTGGATGAGGGGGTAAGCATGCAGGAACTTGATGCCCTGCTCCAGGCGCACCGGGTCAATGAGCTGTGGAGCCATCTTCCCGGTGTACATTAGATGTAGGAGGTAGCTGAAGATGTCTGGCTGGATGTCAGTGGGCTTCAAACGGACACATTCACTGAAAGACATAAGGACCAGGTCATCTGACAGACAAGGCAACTGATGTCCTAGAATAGTAGGTGGTATACCATCAGAGGTCCCTAAAGGAGTTGGTGGCATTGCTAATTTTCTAACTTCCAGACCCTGGTGTTTGCACTGGTCCAGAAACAGCATAGTGAGTATGTAGCAATAATTAAGAGTTCCAAGAACTCTTGCATCAGTAATGACAAAAATTCTCAGACAGCCTGAGAAAGCAACGAGATACATGAGGGTAAGTCAAACAGTATTGCTACTGAGGTTCCAGCTCATACATGCATGGGTTTATTCAAACAAATTGTGTTTGAACTTGTCTCTGCCATCAGTGATAACTACAAACAAGTTCTCTCAGCAATATACTTGTCTTAGATTCTTTAGGGTGCCTTCCAATAATAATAATCATACGGTTCCACCAAAACAGTGGCTTCTGAGAGGATTTGCTGGGCCAGTTAAATTCAGGGCAGCAAGGTAAGCTTTGAATGCTGTGAGAATCCTGTTTAATTCCAGAGGGGAGAGACTTGCTATCTCTCAAAGGACTCAGGATGGTCGTGGGAGATTATTATGAAGTTTTCAAATTGAAACCTGTACTGCTGAGAACAATACACAAAAAATTGAGGTGAAGAAATTGTTTTCCCATCAGGACAATGCACCCGCTTATTCTTCCAAGGTAACCCAGGCCACCCCACAGCGCTGAGCTTTTTTTTTTTTTTTTCCTAAAATTCAAAGAACATTTAAAAGGAGTGTGAGTCCCTGCCGTTTTGACATGGTACAAACTGTAGAGAGTAGAGAGTACGATTCTTGTGGGGAGCGTTGTTGTTGTTAAGTGCTGTCGAGTCGGTTCTGACATATACCGACCCTGTACAGGGTTTCTGAGGAGCAGCTGGTGGGTTTGCAGTCCAGTGCTGATCCTACAGCACCACACCAGGAGAGAGGTGGAAATACCACCTTCCAAAGAGTCCTGGAAGGAGCTCTGGTAGCGTAGTGGTTATGAATCGGGCTGTGAACCTTAAGGTCAGCAGTTCGAAACTACCAGCTGTTTCATGGGAGAAAGATGAGGCTTTCTGCTTCCGTAAAGATTTACAGCCTCGGACACCCTGTATAGGGTCGCTATGAGTCGGAACCGACTCCACAGCACATAACAACAACAACAGAGTTCTGGTGTGGCACTAGACTGCAAGTCCTTTGAATCGCAAAGTCAGTGGTCAGGCTCACCAGTAACTCCTTAGAAATCCTATACAGGGTCGCTATGGGTCAGAATCGACTCCATGGCACTTAATGACAACAAAGTGGATAGACCTAGATGGAGCGAACATCTGTCAAGAGACAATACCTTCACATTTTGGTATTTCTGTGTAGTAAAGGTTTCTAAAGGAGCTCTAATGGCATAGTGGTTACGAGTCAGGCTGCTAACCTCAAAGTCAGCAGTATGAAACTACCTGGGGTTCCTTAGGAGCAAGAGGAGACTTTCTGTTCCCATAAAGATTTATAGTCTTGGAAACCCTGTACAGGGTTGCTATGAGTCGGAACTGACCATGGCACATAACCACCACCAAAGGTTTCTATGATTTTGTAGCAATACTTTGTGACTTACCCTCATGTATCTGCATATTCTGAGGGACCATCATATATTGAATGACTATATTCCATAGATCATGTGATTTCAAGTTCAAGGCTTCCTTGAATGCTTTTGAAACTTAGAATCACTTTTAACTATACTACTGTCCTTGGTAATTTAGCTCTTTTTGGCTCCTTTAGCAATCATCCGTATCTTACTGTTAAATATTTCCCAACAGGCTAAAGTATTAACAGTGTCCCCTACTATTCTAAACTTAATGAATGTTTTATTGTCTCCCAAAGAAGAAAAAAGAAAGTAGACTTTAATAGGTAGAACTGATTTGGATAATGACTATATTGCTATCCATGTGTACATAATTTATGACTACATGCAAATTTGAAAAATCCCTGACTACAAAGCCTACAAGTCAAAGAATCCAGATCAAGTACAATCAACAGCATCTTTCTGACAGTGTAAAGGGAAGTGTGTAGGAGACATTTCTTTATTCAAAAACACACAGGTCACTTCATCTTCCTTTGGAGTCTTTGCTACTCATCTTTAGTTCTGGTGGTACTGTAGGCTAAGCACTAGATTGCTAACTGCAAGGTCAATCATTCAAACCCACTAACTGCTCCTGGGAGAAAGATGAGACTTTCTGGCCCTGTAAAGATTTACAGCCTCGGAAACCCTATGCAGGGTTGCTCTGAGTTAGAATTGACAAGATGGTGGTCAGTTTGAATTTGAGTCACATCTTTAGATAGGAATGCTAAAACAGGTGTTCTGAGGCACAAGATGAGTTCCATAATTACTATGTGTGCATTATATTTGGAAGTTCTTGCGGAGTCCTGGTGTGGCACTGTAGGATAAGCACCAGGCAGTAAAAACCCTAGACTAGGTTGCTATGAGTGGAAAGCTACAGGAAAGCACTTAGCAATAACAGGGAAGTTTGGCATTAAGAACTAAGCTGCAGGGATCACTGTGGAGGACACTTTAGTAATGCAAACGGTCTACTCCACTGGGGTCTACCTGGGCAAGCCAAGGGCCCAGGGGGCTTTCAGAGATGCAAATGATCCCCTAGGTACCTTTTGTCTGCCAGGATGGAATGTTCCAGGAGGCAGAAGGAGTTTGTGAGACTCTCTCCCTAACAACAACAACAACAAAAAAGGGGGCGGGGGAGTAAAGAATAAAAGTGCTAAGGGAGAGGGGGTTTGCTTTTTAGCATTCCTTTCTACTGGGACTTTGGTTTCTCATTTCTATGTTTGCCTTATGTTGTTGTTGTTGTTAAGTGCCATCAAGTCGGTTGGTCCCTACGACCCATAGCGACCCAGTACAGGGTTTCTGAGGGTGTAAATCTTTACGGGAGTAGAAAGCCTCATCTTTCTCCCACAGAGCGGCTGGTAGTTTTGAACCGCTGACCTTAAGATTCGCAGCCCAATTCGTAACCACTACGCTGGGGGTGGGGGGAATGGCCCCTAAAGATCAGGAAGTCCTGGAGAAGCCAGCAGGAACCCTTGGGGCTCACTGCCTGGTGCCCCAGGGTCCAGTGAAGTTTCCAGATACCAATATATTACATTTAAAAACATTTTTACAGTTTCCTTTTTCTCCTTTCTTAAAGAGGAAGCACTCACACACTGAAGAAAGAAAATGTGTTGGTGGCTGTGTGCTGTCCAGTTGGTTTCAACTCATAGTGACCCTGTGGAGGGTTTCTGAAGCTGGACTTGAACTGCTGACTTTGTGGTCCTGGTGTGGTGCTATGGGTTAAATGTGCCAGACTGCAAAGCCATCTGAACTGCAAGGTTGGTGGTTCAAGCTCACCAGCTGCTGCTTGGAAACCCTATACGGGGTCGCTATGGGTCGGAATTGACTCCACCGCACTTAACACATAACCCACTATGCTACCAGGGGTCCTGAAGAAAGGCAGTTAGGTGGGATTTTATAAAGTATTCCTCATCATCTCACTTTCTGAATCACAGCTTACCAGGGGCCAGACCTTTTCAGAAATAAGCCCATGGCTAACCTTCATTTACAACTCTTGGAAAGGACAGAGCTCTCACCAATAAAATTACCTGTGAGGCTGAATGTGCAGGTGTTTGATTTAACACTTTTATGTAAAATAAATTTCTTTTTACATATGTATATATATAATTATATATATTTAATTTTAGTCCTGCTCATTTCTCCCGTATAACCCTTGACTTTCATTTCCATTTGTACTTTTCCCTTCACTGTTGTTACTATTGTTACACAGACTTGATTCTGACATACACGACCCCATGGGACAGAGTAGAACCGCCTCCTCGGATCTCCAGGGCTCTCAGCTTCTGGGAGCAGATGGCCAGCTCTTCTCTACTGTGGCACATTGGTGGGTTCTAACTGCCAGCCTTTTGGTGAGCCGTTCAACACATCAGTTGTTCCACCAGGACCCCTTTTTCCTCCACTTAAAATCATTTCAGATGGTTTTAGAGAACTTCGAAAACACGGATTTAAAACTAACATTTAACATTGTGGGAAGGTTAGCAGTAGGCTTATTTCTGAAATCTCCAGGTCAGCAATCCTTTGTGATTTAAACTTTCCATAAGGAGCAGTTTACACAGACAGAGACATCTAGTGGCAGCTACAAACATGAAGGGAAATCTTGAGGGGCTCTCAGCCTCTTCCTGACAGCCTGGCATAAGGGCATGGCTGAGGCCTGGCTTCAGCAAGCTCTGATTCTGTATGTGAAGGTGCTGCAAGGGGAGAATCCAAATGATACGTCCACCTCTGGTGCAAAAATACAACTACTGCTTAGACTTAGACATCTAGCTAAACAAATCCCCTTTCATTGTCTAAAGGCCTTTATTTACTGCCCTAGACTGAAGTGTCTTGCATGGAAGTATAATCCATTACATTGTATGGATTTTACTAGTGCTGGTACTTTGGGGTGTCCTCCTCCCCCAGCAATTAAGTCTCTAACAGAAAGGAAGTAAAAAATGTTATTAGAGAAGGTATCATTCATGTCTTTAACCCCATTGTTCACCCAGTCTCATCCATACAGTGGCTCTGCCTTCAGAAAACTTACACATAAGGAGGGGAGGTAAGCACACAAATGACAACAATACAGGGAAAACATATAAAGGCTGCCAAGGGGTCTAAGTAAAGGCCAATAACACGTCAGCACGAGAGTTCCTGTGCCCATTTGCTTGACTACGGGGAGAAGTGGCTGATGAGGTGCTGTGAGAACTGAAACTTGGGGGTTCAGGTGACTGACAGCCCAGGGAGAGGGGGTGAGGTGCAGCCTGGAGTTCTGGTTGGAGATGAGGCTAAAGGAGGCCAGACACTAAGCCTCTGGAGCCTGGACTAGCAGAACAATCAGTCTGTACAGATACCTTCTTCCAGAAACGTCCAGATTTCTGATAAAAGGACTAACCCATTTACTAGGTTTCTGATCAAAGGTACAGCACAACCAGAGGAAGGCTTTGGGAGACTCATTAACCTGAGGGTAATATAAAAATGAGGGATGAGGAGATGGAAGTGGGGAGGGGAAGGAACAGACCATTGTGAGAGGACTTGGAAGAAAACATGACTGAGAAGATAAAGAAGAAACCAAATGTTTATAGTGAGATTAAAGTTGGTTTACTAGAAGATAGAACAAGGTGGGGCTTTGGGGAGGAGATAGGTCAGCTTTTAGGCCTGCTCTCTGAGATGAGAGGAGCGCATTCAGTTCTAAACCCATAAACTGGAAGCGAAGTCTCCAGCAGAACTGGGTTGGGGCTGAAGATGGGCTCTTCCACGTGAACCCATGCTCCTGGACGTAAGGCAGAAACTAGTAGAAGGTTCCCTTCCCATTTAGAGGGCAGAAGAATGAGGGGGGTGGGGCATGCAGAGATTAAAAAGAAAAAAAAAGCAAGATACAACACCTTAAGAAGAAAAATGAACCGTAGTAACCACTGCCTCAGGCAGAGATGACAGGGCAGGAGACTGATTTCAGGAGAGTGATCATGTGGGAACCCTAGTCATGGACAGGATGACCCTTAGGAGCTTCAGGAATAAAAGAAAGGATCAACCGCCTTTACAGTGACTCAAGGAGACCGCGGTATAAAGGAAATCCAGTCCATCTAGGCTGAGACAGTAGACACAAACTATAACACAAAAAGTCCAGAATAAAAATTGAGGGGTTGGGTCCTGGAACATGGGGAAGAATGGTAGAACATTGTTTTCCTTAGACACGAGAAACCCTTTTCGCTAAGAGATGAGCACAGAAATAACTGAGCAAAGATGGAGAGACATTTTTACATGGAAAAGAGGGCAATTGGGAGAATGGTCTTGAGTTTTTCACAGAGAAGAAACAGGGACAAATACTGAATACAAGGAGAATGAGTACTTTTGGGCACTGAGGCTGAAGGAGTATGAGAAGGGGCTCAGGAAGGGAGGAGCCCACGGAAGATTCATGGAAGATGGGGCTACCCACTGAGGTGGTTAAATAGCTGACCCAACCCTAACAACCCTGTCAATGTAGGAGAGACCCAGTTAGTATATTTGGAGACCTGGGAGAGGGATTGCTTGGGGCTAGAAGGTCCAGAGACTCTCCAATGAAAGGAGGAGTAATCAAAATGGGCAAAGAGGCAAGTGAGGTCAAAGGGACTGGTTGTGGGGGCGGGGGGCCGCGGGGCTCATAGTGTATGGAGCAGTAGAGACCCAGGACTTCTGAGGGCTGACAGTCATTCTAGCATCAGCCATATATGGAGACAGTCTTGATGAAGGGAAGAGGACATGGCGTTAAGACGTTCACAGTCATTCGATGATCACCACCCACATTAGTTACCTGGTCTGATGGACAAACAACATCTTAAAGTAATTGGAGAAGGAAGCAAGAACTGATTTGTGGGCCTTGAAGTACACATCGCCGATTGCAACCGTGCAGTCACACAGAAACCCAAACTCTCGCTGAGCATTTAACTGTTGTAGGAGAATAAGTCCGTGGTTGGCCAAATCCATTTTCTTTTAAATCTGCAAAGCAAACAATTTTGTTTTTAAGAAAGGTGGTTCACAGAGGAGTATGTGTCCTTCACAGTCACCAACAGTAAGTAATGTCACAGCAACTAACATTAGGGCTTGTCCGGTTCTGTACTGAACATGTCATGCAGGCTAGCTCACTTAATCTTTTTAAAACTTTTTATTGTAAATTGAGTGATCATTTACATGGGAGAACATCGGTTTTGCACTCATCCTATTGTATTTCGTTTCATTGCAATGCTTATAATCCCCTCCATGCATCATCATTCAACAGTATTTGCTTCTATTCCCTCTTTTTTTAAAATGTGGTCACTTTATCGCCATAACAGCCCTCGGATGCAGTTCTGCCATTACCCCCATGTTACAGGTGGAACACTGAGGCTTGGTGGCTACGTGGCTGTCCCAAGCATACATCCTTGTGACAGAAAACATTCCCGGATCATTGCATCGTTCAGTTTAAGGCTCTGAGTGGAAATCCTAATACTTCTCCTAGCAGCACAAACCGTCAAACCTTCCAGAGAGATCAACAAAGCAGGGTTTGTGTGAGGTCAGTGCAGGGCAGAGTGAAGATGTGAGTTCCAAGGGGTCATTTCCCAGCTGGGTAGTGGGGGCTGCTTCTGCCAACGACATAACGTACCCACCACTGTGAGCACCCCTGATTCTTAGGCTAACCCCATGAGGAAGCCGATGGGCGCTCTTCCTCCTCTTTAGTGGGTATTTTGTGGTGGAGGATATAAGCTTGGAGAGCTAGAAGTTAGTTACAACTTGAAACTGCATGTTCTCCTCCAAATTCTCTTATTTTCATTCCTCACAGCAAGGTCTGAATCTATCTAGACTGCAAAATGACTGATAGCCTTCACTCCATTTCCACAGTCAAACGGCATTTACAAAGCCAACACTGTATTTAACAGTTTGTCAAGCCATCTCATCAAGGACCTTCCCTTTATTTATTTATTTTTTTTGCTGATGTTACAAAGCATGATGTCCTTTAAGAAGCAGTCTGGCTGTAAGACAAATTTGTTTGTTCTTCTGACAATCTAAGTCATATTCAGTATTTATCACAAACTAAGGGTGAGAGGTATGATGCTTTCCCTCCTAAGACCAAGACTAAAGCGCAGATGTCCACTCAGTATTAAATACAGTACTGGAAGTCTGAACGAGTGCAATAAGGCAAGAAAATAAAATACAAGTCACGGAAGTGAGGAAAAAAACCCCAAAACTGTCCCTATTTTCAGATGACATTATTGTTTACATAGAAAAATCTCAAGACTCTACAAAAAACTCAAAGAACTAGTAAATGAGTTCAAAAGGTCTCGGAATGTAAGATAAACACACAAAAATCTATTGTAATGCGTATGTTGGCAATGACCATGTGGCCCTTAAAATTGAAACTATGTACTCCCAGTTATAAGGCGCTCTGGTAGTGAAGAGGTTACGAATTGGGCTGCGAACCACAAGGTCAGCAGTTCGAAACTACCAGCCACTCTGTGGGAGAAAGATGAGGCTTTCTGCTCCCGTAAAGATTTACAGCCTTGGAAACCCTGTTCAGGGTCGCTATGAGTCGGAACCGACTCGACAGCACATAACAATAACAATCCCAGTTATGGATTCCCGGTGTGGCACTGTAGGACACGCACAGGACTGTAAGATAAGGTTGGTTTGAACCACAAGGTGGTTCAAACTCACCAGACACTCCTTGGAAATCCTGTACTGGGTCGCTATGAGTTGAAACTGACTTGACGGTATTTAACAACAACAACATTTATAATCACAAGAAGGCACAAAACATGTACAAGACATGTATGCTAAAAATTACAAAACACTGATGAAAGACATAAAAGACTTATATAAATGGAAAGATATACTGTGTGTTTAAGGATAGGAAGACTCAGATTTGTATGATCCAATAGTGAGTAATTGTTTGTTATCATGACTAATTGCTACTGTCACAATTGTAAAGGTAGAAGTTTTGTAAAAAAAAATGGGGGAGTAGTTAATCTTACAGTCCAGAAACAGAAGATCCTAGGACCGTCAAGGGAGAGAAGCACAAGCAGAATGCGAGACTTATCCAGAAAAGCAGCAACACCAGAGATAGAGGCAGAGATAGGGACACGGAGACAGGGAGTGGTTGAGAACTCTAAATTCATGGGAAGAGAGGGACTGAGAGCCAGTGGCCAGGAGGCAGACTTGCAGAATGTACCCTTTGGTAGTATAAATTAGTCTACATGCCTGAGTGTTTAAAAAAAGAGGTAAAATGAATAGAGAGAAATACTGTTAACTGATGGTAATGAATGGATTATAATCATTGCAATGAAACAAAGTATATGATTTGTTGAATGTAAAACTGAGGATCTGCCCTGTAAACTTTCACTCAATTCACAAAAACTTAAAAAAAAAGAATAGGAAGACTCATCATAGTAAAGATGCCAGTTTCTCTGTTAAAACAGGTTTAACACAACTTCATATAAAGATTGATGCGTTTGAGTTATGGTGGTGGAGAATATTAAAAGTACCAAGGGCTGCCAAAAGAACAAACCAATCTGTGTTGGAAGAAGTGCAGTCAGAGTGCACCTTGGAAGCTAGGATGGCCAGACTTTGTTGTCTCACATACTTTGGACATATTATCAGGAAGGACCAGTCACTGGAGAAGGAGATCATGTTTGGCAAAGCTGGGGGTGGGGGGGAAGGGTTCAGAGAAAAAGAAGAGGACCCCCAACGAGATGGATTGGCACAGTAGTGGCAGTGATGGGCTCAGGCATAGCAATGATTGTGAGGTTGGCGCAGGACTGGGCGGTGTTTTGTTTCATTGTGCACAGGGTCGCTATGAGTCAGTACTGACTCTATGGCACCTAACGACAATAGGAGTCCTGGTGTGCTGCTGTGGGTTATTATGCCGGACCGCAAAGTTGGTGGTTCAAATCCACCAGCCACTCCTTGGAAACCCTATACAGGGTTACTAGGAGTTGGAACTCATAGTGCATACATTGTGCACAGGGTCGCTATGAGTCAGAACAGACTCCATGGCACATAACCACCATATTTAACACAATCTCTATCATATACATGCATACATACATATACATTGTTGAATGTTAAGTACCGTGGAGTCGGTTCCAACTCATAGTGACCCTGCACAAGGTTTCCGAGGCTGTAAATCTTTACGGAAGCTGAAAGCCTCAACTTTCTTCCACGGAACAGCTGGCAGTTTCAAACTGCCGACCTTGAAGTTAGCAGTCCAGTGCTTATCCTACAGCACCACTAGTTACAGTAATAAAGACTGTGAGATACTGGCGGAAGGACACACAGATAGATGGATGGAACCCAGACGCAGACGCCTTAAAATCGACGCCCAGTTGAATTTTGACAAATGTGCAAAAGCAATCCAGTAAAGGCAGGGTAGCCTTTTTTTAACAAATGGCACTGGGTCAAGTGGACTTCCAAAAAAAAAAAATAAATAAATAAAAGAACCTTAACCTAAATTTCATACCTTATATAAAAAGTAACACAAAATGGATCACATGCATACATATAAAGCTCCAACTTTTGGAGACAATTTTAGGGGACGTGTTATGTACCATCAAATCGGTTCCAACTCAGCAACGGAACAGAACCACTGCCTGGTCCTGCCAGCCTCACCATCGCTGCTAAACTTGAGCCCATTGTTGCAGCCACTGTGTCAATCCATCCATCTCATTGAGGGTCTTCATCTTTAATGCTGACTCTCTACAAGAAGTCCTGGTGTGATACTGTAGGGTAAGTACTGAACTGCTAACAAACCCACCCGCTGCACCTTGGAAACCCTATACAGGGTTACTATGAGTTGGAACTGACTAAACGGCACTAACAACAACTTTATATAGTCTGATGTCCTTCGCCAAGGACTAGCCCCCTCTGATAACATGCCCAAAATACATGAGACAAAGTCCTTGCTTCTAAAGGAACATTCTGGTTGTACTTCAAAGACAAATTTGTTTGTTCTTCTGGCAATCCAAGGTATATTAATATTCATCAACAACACCATTCTTCAGTGTTTCTTCAGCTTTTGCATGCAAATGAGGTGAATGTAAATATTATGATTGGTTCCGGAGCAACTCAGTCCTCAAAGTAACATCTTTGCTCTTTAACACTTTTGAGAAATCTTTTGCAGCAGACCTAACCAATGCAATATGTCCTTTGATCTTAGCTATAGCTTCCGTGGGTGTGCATAGTGGATCCAAGAAAAATGAAATCCTTGGCATCTTCAATACTTTGTTTGTTTATCACAATGTTGCTCACTGGTGCAGTTGTGAGAATTTTTGTTTTCTTTATGTTGACGTGTAATCCATACTGAAGTCTGTATTCTTTGATCTTCATTAGTAAGACTTCAAGTCCTCTTCATACAGTAAGTAAGATTGTATTAGCTGCATATTGCAGGTTGTTAATGAGTCTTCCTCCAATCCTGATGCCACCTTCATCTTCATACAGCCAGCGTCTCACGGATTATTTGCTCAGCATACAGATTGAATAAGCATGGTGAAAGAATGCAACCCTGTCACGTCTTTTCTAATTTTAAACCATTTAGTGTTCCATTGTTCTGTTCCAATGACTTACTCTTGGGTCTATGTACAGGTTCCTTATGAGCATAAAAAAGTGTTCTGGATTACACATTTTCCCCAGTGTTATCAATAGTTTATCATGATCCACACAGTCAAAAGTCTGCAGAGTCAATAAAGCACAGGTAAACAGCTTTCTGGTATTCTCTGATTTCAGCCAAGATCCACATGACATCAGCAATGATATCCCTCATTCTACATCCTTTGAGGCACTTCTGACCTAGGTAAACTCACCTTTGTTGTTGTTGTTAAGTGCTGTCAAGTCGGTTTCACTCTGTATAGGATTTCCAAGGATATAGTAAATTAGAGGCTAAGGACTCCCATACAAAACAGGCCCAGTGGGAGGTATTTTACAATTTTTGGAAGGTAAAAAAGTTTTTTGGAAGGTTT